TTAGGTAAATTTCAGAAAAGTAAGTTTGATATATAAAATAATCATTTTGATAATAAGAGTAACAAAAAGCAAAAAAGTAAAAATAAAATCACATGGAGGAGAGGGAAAGAAACGTGAGGCAGAGAAAAATTTTCTAAGTAGAGAAGCATATATAGCAACGCAAAAGAAGTGGATGGAAAAGGGAAAAAAGAGCCACAAAATGAGAAAATATAATTCATGTTATTTGATACATTGGGGAAACTAAAGAGTAGTTTTAAATCTTACAGAATATGGTCCCTATGATGTCTCCTTGGAGAAAATATAATTCATTATTTTAAATTATAGGTAAACTAATAAAGTAGAGTTTTTTCTCAAAATTATTTAGACATGCATAAATTGATATATGATAAGTTGAATTCACATACGCATATTATTGTGTTAATTTTGCCTTTTGGAAGAAATCAGAAATAGTAAGACTGAATTGTAGACACTACTAAAATTCAAGCCTTCAGCAACAATATATCAGCAACATGGGATCCTTTGTTACTGAAAATTTGTATCAGCAACAAGACTCATGTTGCTGAAAGTTGCATAGTACAATCTTCCCCTAAAAAGTTGTTCTACTTTCAGCAACAAGGAGTATGTTGCTAAAAGTGAATTTCAGCAACATACCCCATATTGTTGATATTTTCCGGCAACCATTTCTCCATCTAATTAAGCTCCACTTTCAGCAAGATATTCCTTGTTGCTGAAAGTGACTTTTAGCAACAAGAGTTATCTTGCTGAAACTTTTCCAACCACACCTAAAGTATTAGCAACATATACTATGTTGCTGTTATTTTTATCTTTTCACCAACCAAACATCAGCAATATATCCCTTGTTGCTGATGTTACCACTTTGACTAATAGTTGATCAAGGCCATTATAGATATATACCTTTAAATAAAGAGTCGAATCTAACTACAAAGATTCGACTCTCCAGTATTCAAGAGTCGACTATACATAATGAACATTCGACTCCCAAATTCCAGAGAGTTGAGAAGATTTTGAGTGTTGTGTATAGTCGACTCTCTTTAATGAGAGTCGACTCTTTTTGGAAAAGAGTCTACTTTTATTTGAAAAAAAGTTAACTCTTAATTTAAAAATTATTGACAAAAACTTGTGATAACTTTATATAAAATATCTATGTAGTCTCGTATGCATATTCACATATATTTTTTAGATAAAATCAAGTTTTAAATTAATTAAATATATTAATAAATAATATAATTATATT